TGTGTGTGTGTGTGTGTGTGTGTGTGTGTGTGTGTGTGTGTGTGTGTGTGCGTGTGTGTGTGTGCGAGTGTGTGTGAGTGTGTGTGTGTGAGAGTGTGTGTGTGTTCTCACCGATGCAGGCCGTGTGGTGTTGTGTGAATCCCGTTGGGCATTTGCAGGTGAATCCTCCGATGGTGTTGACACACAGGAACTGACAGTTGTGTTGTTTGGTGGCGCATTCATCCAGATCTGGAGAGACACAGAGTCAGAACACACACACACACACACACACACACACGTGTGCACGCTGTCCCGCCAGTGAACCTGAGCTCTGAGACTGTCGGTGTAATGCTGCACCGGTGTAAATAATGAGCAGTGTGTCGTTAATGTGATGTGTGTTTAATCAGCCATGTGTTTGTGTGTGTTTATCTCTTATCTGGGGCAGGAGGAAGTCAGATTTAGTCTAGACTCACTAACCGCTCTCTCTCTCTCTCTCTGTCTGTGTGTGTGTTTTACCCCGGCAGCTCTTGGCATCGTCCTGCAGCACGTATCCTCGCGGGCAGGAGCACAGGTACCCGCCCTCCGTGTTCTTACAGATGAAGTTACAGGGTTTAGGAGCCTGAACACACTCGTCCACATCTACACACACACACACACACACACACACACACACGACCAGGTTTAGCCAAAACTGCTCACTAATATAGTGACTTCTGAAGACACTTAATGTGTCCTTACTATTTAAAATGCTCATAAACCTGCAAATCACAATTGCATTAAAATCTAGTATTTGGACAGGTTTCTCTGATGGTTATGTCTAGGGGTCAGGGGTCAGAGGTCAGGTTAGGGCACAGAAAATATCATTAACCTGACAGAAAACAATGAAAGTCTATGAGTTGACCTCACTGATACAGTGAAACAAACATTTATTTGTGCGAGTTATTGTTATAGTTATCATTATAGTTTTCGCTATAGTTATTGTTATCGCTATATTTGTTGTTACAGTTATCGCTATAGTCACCGTTATAATTATTGTTATAGTCATGGTTATAGTTATCGGTATAGTTATTGTTGTAGTTATAGTTATATCATTATAATAATAGTTTATCATAGTCATCTGTACCTTTTATTGTTATAGTTCTCATTTTAGTTACTATTATAGTTATTGCTATAATTATTATTATAGTCATGGTTATAGTTATCAGTTATCGTTATATTTTTCTCTGTAGTTATCGGTATACTTGTTGTAGTCACTGTTATCATTATAGTTATCGCAATATATATTTTCATAATTCTAATAGTTATTGTTAAAGTTATCGTTATACTTATTGTTATTACTATAGTTATCGTTTATAGTCATGTTTGCAGTTATTAGCTATTGCTGTAGTTATCACTATGTTTATTGTTATAGTTATCGTTGTAGCTATTATTGTTATTGTTATAGTTGTTGCTGTAGTTATCATTATCACTATAGATGTCGTTTATAGTCATGGTTATAGTTATTAGTTCACTATATTTATCTTTACAATTATTGCTGTTATAGTTAACGCTATATTTATTGTTATATCAGAGTTATTGTAATTGTTATCGCTTTCACTATAGTTATCATTTATAGTCATGGTTATAGTTATTAGTTATCAATATAGTTATCGCTGTAGTTATCATTAAAATGATTTATGTAGTTATTGTTATAGCTATCATTATAGCTATTGTTAGCTCAATAGTTATCATTTATAGTCATGGTTATAGTTATTAGTTATCGCTGTAGTTATCGTTAAAATGATTGCAGTAGTTTTGTAGTATTGTTTTAGTCATCATTGTAGTTATTGCTGTATTTATTGTATTAGTTGTAGTTACCAGTAATCTCACGAGTTTCAGAAGAGATCTCAGACATGTCTGGAACTGTGCTCACTAATACAGTCAAAAACATGTCTGTGTGTGAGTGTGAGACTCATTATTTTTGCATTATTGACACACTATTTTCCTAATTAATGCTGTACGGTTGCTGTGACCCAATCTGTATTGTTAAAAACGCTATATAAATAAAGGTGACTTGACTTGACTCACCCACGCACTGCGTGCCGCTGATGTCAGTGGTGTATCCGGGTTTACAGACGCAGCTGAAGGAGCCCAGCGTGTTCAGACACTGGCCGTTCTTGCACAGATTCCCCATCACCTTACACTCGTCGATATCTGCAGAGCACACACAGATCATCCACATATCCACACGCAAACACACACTCAGCAGCACAAACACGCGAGCCGTCGGTGTTACCCTCGCCGTCGGTGGTGTATCCGGGGCCCAGCGGGCACATCTTCTTGTACTGAGTGGTCCCGGGCAGCGGGCAGAGCTCACAGTTGGGCCCCCAGCCTCGGCCCCCGTCACAACAGCACTCGGACTTCCTAACGCTGACGCGACTGCTGGAACTCATCTGACACATGGTCTGCAGAACCTCCAGGAAGCAGAAGCCCTGACGGTTATCTGACACACACACAGAGCGTCTGTTATCAGCCCAGTGTACAATGGGTTTGTGATGCTGGTGCTTTACCAGGTTAACTAGCTTAACCTGCAAGACATCTTGCTAAATACAGAGCTCTGGCATGAAACTCTAGATGGCGCAGTCCGATAGGTCTAACTCAATCTGACCTAATGACATCATTATCACATGGCACAGCTGATTGGTTCTCTCCTGTATCGGTAGCCAATGAGCTCGCAGCTCAACATTTAAATATATGACTGGTGCTTGCCGTAGCAGTTTCTTCAGCTTGCTTCAGAAACCCTCCACCTTCCCCAGCTCCACCTGTATAGATCTGCTACGAGGTGATTCATGTATGCTATATGGGGGTTATTTCATGTATGTTATATGTGCAGCAGCAGTATTTCTTACATGCTCACAGCAGCATGTTGTGGATGTATTGGCAGCAGCAAGTCTCAAAAAAAACTTTTACTTCACTACATTCCAAAGCATAATGTCGTACTTTTTACTGCACTACATTTCATAAATAAATGTTGTTGTTTTTTTACCTTTAATACTTAAGAACATTTAAAATGTAGTACTTTCTTGTACTCAAGTAAAACTTTGAATTACGTTTACTTGAGTAAAATTAAGGAAGTACTAGATTTCTAATACAATTAAGTTTAAATGATATTTAATATGAAACGTAGTGCAGTAAAAAGTACAATATTATGCTTTGGAATGTTGTGAAGTTAAGGTTTTCTAAAGAAAAACACTGATAAAGTACAGACACTTGAAAAGTACTTTCACAGCAGAGTAAAAATACTTCACTACTGTCCGCCTCTGAATAAAGTAAACTGTGACATATTATACCCCAAAATTCTTCATAGCAGTAAAATTTGGGACCAAAAAATTTTTCTAAAGACACTTTGACCAGCTTTGAAACAGCTTAATCGTAATATTGTTTTATTTATAATAAGGTAAATTACTGATGTCCATGCAAGCGTAACTCTTACCGATGCACTCGGTCCTGCTGGGACTGGGACTGAAGCCCTGATCGCAGACGCAGCGGTAACTGCCCACCGTGTTCTCGCAGCGGCCGTTCTCACAGATGCCCGGTTTGGCCGTGCATTCGTTCAGATCTGTGAACAAAGTTCAAGTTTATTTCTAAAGCACTGAATAAAACACCAACGTTGACCATAGTGCTGTACAAACAATGGAGCAATTAGAAGAGGAAAACATTTTTAAATTAAGAAATGTAAAAAGAGAAACTTTAAAGGAGTAGTTCACTTCCAGTACAAAAATTTACAGAGAATGTACTCACCCCCTTGTCGTCCAAGATGTTCAAATCTTTCTTTCTTCAGTCGTAAAGAAATTATGTTTTTTGAGGAAAACATTTCAGGATTTCTCTCCATATAATGGATTTCTATGGTGCTCCTGAGTTTGAACTTCCAAAATACAGTTTAAATGCAGCTTCAAAGAGCTCTTAACGATCCCAGCCGAGGAAGAAGGGTCTTATCTAGCGAAACGATCAGGTATTTTCTAAAAATAATTACAGTTTATATACTTTTTAACCTCAAACGCTCGTCTTGTCTAGCTCTGCGTTAACTCTGTGCATTTCGGTTCATGACAGTTAGGGAATGTCTAAAAACTCCCGTCTCATTTTCTCCTCCAACTTCAAAATCGTCCTACATCGCTGCAGAAGTACCGACCCAGTGTTTACAAAGTGAACATGCAAAGAAGATCAAATGCCCTTTACAGTAAAACAGCGATGTAGGACGATTTTGAGTTTGATTTGGAGGAGAAAGTGAGACGGGAGTTTTTAGACATTCCCTAACTGTTATGAACCGGAATGCACAGAGTTAACGCAGAGCAAGACAAGACGAGCATTTGAGGTTAAAAATTATATAAACTGTATTTTTTTTTAGAAAATAACCGATCGTTTCGCTAGATAAGACCCTTCTTCCTCGGCTGGGATCGTTTAGAGCTCTTTGAAGCTGCATTTAAACTGTATTTTGGAAGTTCAAACTCAGGAGCACCATAGAAGTCCATTATATGGAGAGAAATCCTGAAATGTTTTCCTCAAAAAACATAATTTCTTTACGACTGAAGAAAGAAAGACATGAACATGCACACTGAGCCTGAAATTTTCGTATGCGTTTTTTTTCGTATTCGTCATCCTTTCCTATCAAAATGCTTGCTATGGATGCGAAATCGCATTTTTTTTTTTTATGACGGATGAAAGTTTTGGAGGCAGTGTGTAAACGTGATTGACACAATGTGAGGTTGTATTTATTTTTTAAAGTGCAAAAATAAAGTGCAAAAATCTTTGATGAAACACTATCATAAAGAAATATGTTTTCAAATGGCTTTTAAACTGACTGAGCTTCGGTACGTTCCTAATATATAACATAACAAGAAGAAGTTTCTGTGATTGAGATCGTAAAAGTCTCGATGGCTTTTGTTCCTGGATTAGATCTGCGATATATGATGGGGCTATACCATGTAGAGATTTAAATACAAATAATAAGATTTTAAAATTAATCCAAAAAAGAAACAGGCCGGTATCAAATGTTCATGTCGCGATTAATTGCTAATGCTTTTATCACGGTACGCGGTATTATCACGGTATTGAAATTTAGTTGCAAAAAAGTGTTGTCATAATACAGTATAACAGTATTTTTTATAACAAAAATAACTGAACATTAAAATATAATAAAGCAAAGATCGCATTAGTTAACCTTAGTTAATGCATTAATATTAACAATGAGCAATTGCTACATTTGATACAGAAGTTATTAATCTTAGTTCATGTTAGCTCATTAAATAACACAGTTGCAACTTTTGATTTTAACGTGTTATTAAATATTGGAATTACCTGAGATTAATGAACGTTTAGAAGAATTTTTCATTGGCAGTTTATGTTAACTAATGTTAACTAATGCAGCCCTAATGTGAAGTGTGACCGAACAATAAAAAAATCAAAACACTTTCAAACAATATCTAGGGCATGTTGTAGTCCAGATTAAAATGTTAAAAAGTTTTAAAGTAAATAGCCTTAAGTTTTTGGCGCTGAAACAGCATATACACAAATCTGAACGGCTATTTAAATAATTTAAACATGTTTCAGAAACACAAAGGAGCTCAGCTATTTTGGTTTCCGGCATAGATTTGTATAGATGCCCTATTCGACCGCTCCAGATACGTTGACGCGTCAACTTGACGTCATTCACCATAATAATCAATAAATATTCAAAGATATACATGCGTATAACTTACTGATGTAGACGCACACAGTCAGCTTTCACTCAAGGTTTGCAGAGTGCTCCAAAAATGGCGGATGGCTTACTTATCACGACCCATAGAAACTAATGAGGCATCTACGTATATACACACTACCGGTCAAAAGTTTGGGATCAGCAAGACTTGTAATGTGTTTTAAAGAAGTCTCTTCTGCTCATCAAGGCTGCATTTATTTGATCAAAAATACAGAAAAAAACATTAATCTTGAAACATAAAAAATCGTTCTGATCCCAAACTTTTGACCGGTAGTGTACATCTATGGTTTCCGGGGTAACGGCTGCATTTCTGCTGTTTAGCGCCATCTGCTGTCAGAGAGTGAATGTGCTTGTTTACATCAGATGAAATTTGATGCAGCATACAGCGGTGTTGTGCATTGTGACCAGTTGATGGGAAAAGTATTCGACACATGTCTAGTCAGGAGTCAGGCGTCTGAGCGCTGTAGACAGCATAAGTAAGCATCGGGATGTGAGCGCTCACCCACGCAGCTGTCTCCGTTGGGCTGTCTGGTGTATCCCGGCGAGCAGATGCACATGTACGTGCCGATCAGATTCTTACAGGTCATTCCTCTGGACGCACAGTCATCCAGACCCTCCTCGCACTCGTTCTGATCTGATGAACACAAGAGGAGCGTTCAAACGTGATGATGTGTGTTTGTGACACTGAAAGACTTGTCTTTACCTTTGCACATCCGGCGGTCTTCTCTCAGCACGTATCCTGCTGGACATTTGCATTCGTACGAGCCCACCGTGTTGACACAGCGGAACGCACACAGCAGGGGATTCTGGGAACACTCGTTGATATCTAAAAACACAGCACACATTTTCATCAGATGTGTTCACAGCAGAGCCGTGGAAAATGATCAAAAACGTCCTTATCGTTCTGGTTATATTGTATTAATATACATATATTGTACGCTATGGAGTGTTACGTTTTTGAAAAACTATTACAAATAGAGTACTTAAAAACAAAAATTTTTATTATTATTTTAAATCAGTGCTATTGGTCATCGTTATGTCTGTTTGAGGGTTTTACAAATATTTAACCAATGAAAAGCATTCAAAAGAGCTTGTGCCTTGAGCCTGTCTGTGAAATTAAAACAAGAAATTAAAACAAATGAACACAACTGCACACAGACGAAACACAAACATGTAACTTAGTTTATAAAACGGAGAGTTCCGGTGCTTGATTCTGATTGGCTGAGCCGCGTTCGAAGCTGTTGTAAATGACTCTACAAAGTAACATACACCTTTGTTTACGTTTGTCTGTTGCTTGGCAACCACTTTGTAGCAACCACAACTGTTTCTGAGGAGCTACATTGTTTGGTGGAAGAATACTGTTTTTATTAATATCATTACACTTTATTTGCTCTGTTTTATTTTGTGAAACCTAACTACGTATATGGAATAACCGTTTTATAAACAGCTTATTAGTTTAATAATAGCTTATAACAGCTAAGGGGGTATATATTATAACTCCGCTACGCGTCGTACCTAACAACAACGCCCCTTAGCTGTTATAAATTCACTGTAAACCATGGCTTCTTGGGACTTATTGCTTTATTTTATAACAGTTAAGCAACATGACACGACCAAGAGAGTGAAGTTTTCCCTGAAAACCTCGATTGCAAATCTGAATTATGCAAAAGTTAAAATGAGTAGTTGATATACATTTTAGTTCAATATTTGAATTTGATTTTATTGAAAGGATATATTGACTGTTTTTGCTCGATTTGGTTAATGATAATAAATCCAAACAAAGATCACAGCAGAACAGTCGCGCATCTCTGAGCAACACACAGCGGTGTTTCGTTACTGAACGATTCAGCGTTTTCGAATCATTTGAATCAATGATTCAGTGGTCCATACATAAACACAGGCACTTGTTTCATTCTTGAATGAATCAGCTGTCTGAACGAATCGTTTGAAGGCAAGCTTCAATGACTCATTAATTAAGACAGACACTTACTGCCACCTACTGGCAGTTTACTCTCATAGTAGTTTATCTTTGCATTTTTTCCAACATTTCATATTTGTATATTTAAAAAAAACTATTTCAAAACACCAAGCTCACAACATTATTTATGCTGTTATAATTTTGCAGTCTAAATGCATTCTTGGTATATTTCAGCTATATTGAACTGTGTAAATGCATCTGAACGCCACTCCAGTCACTTCTGTTTCTTCTGCAGTGGAAAGATTGGTTTTGTTGATACTGATTTAATGTGATTGGTAACAGCCCTATATTGTCTTAGTATATTAAGTGAAACTATTAATAAAAAGTAAGAATTTGATATGAAAGATGATGCATGCATTTAATACGGTTAGGGAAAAATGACAAAAAAATTTTGTATGCAGTATTAAGTCATATAAAATGTAATTTCCCAACAACAAAATTGTGGCCGGTGAAAATGCTGAGTGGATTAACTGCCTCAGATGTGGCCGTTCTAATGATGGACAAAACACAGATCTCCATCATTCGGTCGTCAAAAACCTTGTTAACTCCATTTCAGTATGATTTTCAGAAATTAAGTGCAAGTGTCTGATCATATATAACGCCAAAATACCAGCTCTGATGATGCAATGTTTAATTATTGGAAAAAAAAAAAAAATTCCCCTTTCTGTCTTTTTTGTTGTTGTAATGCTTAGCGGTGTGCCGTGGGATTTTTTTACATATCAAAACTGTGCCGCGGCAGAAAAAAAAGTTGGGAAACACTGCACTAGAGAGTGTTTGTAAACACGTGGATCATTCTCCATCAGTGTGAAAACAATCCAGACTGACTGAACACTGGAGATCTGTCTGTTATGGTTTAGTGTACGTCTCTGTCTGTGCATGCAAGTCATTTTGAGCATGTTTATGTAGATTTTGTAGTAGAATCAAAGCAACAGAAGCATGGTTAGTGAAGCATAAAGGGTCGTTCCCACAGAACATGTTTATGCATTTAAAAATGCGAGATGCAGGGCAGTGGAATGAAAAAACGCAAGGACTGGAGTCTGGAGATTTTTTAAAAGTTGAGCTACTTTTAATTTGAAACGATGTAATAAATATGCTGCGCTCATGCATGAGATGCTGCAAACGATGCAAAATGTGAATATAATGGTGAAAGGCGTTCGTCTAATATGTTTATATAGGTTTTCCATTTATAACAATGGAAAAGCAGCACAGTACACGGAAAAAACACTAGTGTAGGATTAGGGTTGCAAAAAGGTGGAAAATTTCCAGTAAATTTTGGAAACGTTCCAGGATTTTTGGGAATATTCAAGGGATTTTTTGGAAAGTTTCCGGATATTTACCACCCCTTTGCAACCCTATGTTGGATACACTTTGATCAAAATTAATAATTGATCAAAATAATTTTCACCCAGAAATTGCTAGTAAATTTCACAAATAATTACAAAGAAATGGCAAATACCTATGGAAGCCTGTTTCCACCACAGAATAAAATAATAAAAAAGGTAACTGCGACTTTTTCTTTCAATCTTGAGTTTATATCTCACAATTCAGAGTTTGTTTCTCACAAGTGGTAGAAAAAAGTCAGAATTGCGAGATATAAACACAGAATTCTGAATTTTTCTCAGAATAAGCTTAAACCTTAAACGCAATTCTGAGTTCATATCTTTCCATTTTTAATTATTACTTTTTTCAAAAAGTCAGAATTGTAAGATATAAATTCAGAATTATGAGAAAAATGTCAGAATGTTTTATTAATATTTTATATTGATGGTGAAAACACAGTAACACATTAATTAAAACGTGAAAGATTTTTGAAGTAGAATGACTGAAATAATAGTATTCCTGTAAACTGCACTCCAATAATATTTTTTTACATTTTCAATTTGTTTGTTCATTTCTAGTTTAGCAACATGCCAGCTACCACGGCTATATTCATGGTGAGAAAAAAAGATATAGATTTTTAAAAAAATGTTTGTCAAATTTATCTTTGAAAAATTATTAGATTTATATTGGTAATCAGCTGCTGCTAGTACTCACAGTCATACTCATGATGAAGACACAAATATACAGCGGATCAGAACTGAACCAAACTGGGCTTCAGATCGAATGAACAAAGTGAGTGTGAGAGAGTGGCCTACAGGAACATCAGCAGATCTGGAGAATAACTACAGCAGCAGCTCATCACTGACCTTCACAGGTCATCATGGGTCCGGGCTCGAACCCCTCGTCGCAGCTGCACTCAAACGCTCCCTCCACGTTTGTGCAGGAGCCGTTCCCACACGGGTTCCCCAGCTCACACTCGTTCGTGTCTGATGACGGAGAGCGCATACACACACACACACACACACACACACACACACACACACACACACACAC